ACGTTAAGTAATTGCTGGAATATTCGCAACTTCTTCTCGCGCTTAATTAACGTATTATCATTTAAACTTAATAATGTTCGTGGCATTGATCGAGAATAATACTTATGTCTTTAATGGAATTCTAGTAAACGTGTAAAATAATATCTAATCCGTAATGTTTTCGATAATATCGCTTTGCGCACTTGTGATTAAATCAGCTCAATTCTACTTAATCGCTGAATATATAGTATGTATATATTTGTTTGGTATGATCTTATCCGCGTATATTGAAAATGAGATAATGCTCTTTAGCACTCGATTAAAATTGAGATTACTTCATCCAACACAAACAAAATCTCAAATTATATTTTTCATTCGTCTAATGCGCGATTTGGCGTAGAACTTCCCAATTACAATCGAAAACAACCCAGACAACATGGATGTCTAGAAGAGAATTAAAATAATATCCTGAAGACGACACAAATTGGAACATCTTAAAGACGTTAAAAAGAAAGACAATTTTATAAAGATAATTTCAAAAATTATATGATGTCCTTAATTAAATCTGCACTATATGACAAAACATGTTATATAGTAAAGTTATACAATTTTGTTACAAAAGTTACAAAAAAAGAAGAAAAAATGTTATATACCATTTCTTTTTGTAACAAGTTGTATACATAATACGTTTTGCTACATAATATGCTTTTTTTACGTATAGTATAGACGCAACTTTACAATACTCTTCCAAGAGCGCGCAATCATTATTTTACTTGCGCACTCAACGTTGATTCTTACGTAAGCAAGATACAAGACAAATTTATTCGTATTCGTGGATCGTCGGCATTGCGTGGAACTATCACTACAGCGGTGAGATTATTTCCTCTTAATTGATGTCGTTGCACGCATGACAACACGTGATTATCGAGTTACTGATTTTCGTCAACTTTCTCATTGATAGCGTCTGACACGAGCATAGCTGATACTGATTTTATCTATTGTTTACAGGTTTACACAATTAATCCCTGCTAAGTATTATCGCGATTATACAGATGCACATAAATTATACGCGCCCTGAATCATCGCTTCGCAATGTGAAACACGAACATGCCACGAGATAACATGAAAAAAGGGCATGTTTGACACATTATGCCTCCATTTTTGATCGTGAAAAATTTCCAAATTAATAATTATTTTTATCTGTAACTATATCATCCATCAATCATACCATGCACATGCCGAACGATTTGACATTTCTCTTATCGTTTAATCAGCCACGATAAGATTTATCTTACAACTTCAGATTACGTTATAAATCTATATACTTTATAGTGAAATTTATAAGGCTAATAATACAGTTTTTAAGCAATTAAATACAGTTTTTAAGCAATTAAAAATAAATATACAATTAAAATTCTCAATTAAAATTTAATTATTTTAAAGAAATACATGAAAAATAGACTCCAACAAATGAAAAAAAAAGAAACAGCATTTTGACAATGGATTAATTTGATTTTTTCCTTCGAGGATGTAACTCGCTTTATTGACAGACGCGGACTTACCCGCCGTAGCAGCCAGGAACTGAGGGAGCTTGGAACCTTTCTCTGTCATTTCTTCAAGACAGCGATGGCCGACAGTGCGGGTCCTATCGCGTATGTTCAACTCTACGGATTCTCTAACTAGGGTGTATAATACGCTGCCGAAGGAAAACTCACTGGTGCAGGATTGTAGGCATAATCTTTATAAGAACGCTCTATCTGCTCATTGTCTCGAGTGGGAGTCATATTCTCTAACCGTCTCTCTCTCTCACTCATTTCTTTTGCCGTTTCTTGCAAAGCGCGATTTCAATCGCCATCGCTGCAGTGTGCAGTGGTGAGGGATGCAACGACCGACGTCTCAAGACCTAGACCCTGAAACAAAGGACCATGGTTAAGGTCGCGTGGCGTCATTACGGTGTCTAGAAAATTTCCTCATCAAAAGGATGCCTTTGATCGAGACGAGGTTGTGTTATAAAAGAAAAAAATTTACATCGGAATTTATTTCCGAATTTTACTCAGAATCTCATTAAAATGCTGGATTGAATCCAATTCGTGATTTTGATCATCAAAATGTTTGTGAGGGAATAAGAGTTCTACACCAATTTACTTTAAAATAATAGGTAAGATAGTAACTTAATCTTTCCCAATACATTCACATAATTATTCGTAATATCTTCTATTTATCAAGAAACTAGATTCAGTTTTATAATAAATAAGGCCATAATGACGCTAAAATAGCAGTCGTAACGATGAAATTAATTAATTATGTTTTATAAAATGTAATAAAAATTACACTTGTATTGTAGATATTAAATTACAAAGCTTAAAAACATTATATTTTGTTTATAAATCAATTCGTATTTTGTGCAAGATGATTTATCTTCAAGAATGATTAGATTTACTACAGTTATTTTAAAAAGTAAGATAATTCAAGTTTGCTTTTAATTATTAGTAATATTAATAGGCTTTAATTAATAAATTATCTCTCAATTTCAATACAAATATATGGTTGAGCATTAGAAATATGTAAATTAAAATGTTATCTAAATTTTCATCATATATCGCCACGATATCATAAAGCATTTATATTTGTATTGTCACACGCGTTAGGAATATTTAAAAATAATATACTTCACCTGAGCTCATGCTCCTTCTTGATCAGCATATTCGTCCATTCGTCGACGATTTCTGCCTCGAGTTATCGCACATATTCATGATCCTATGCTCCCAGGGTTATCCACGGCCCCTTTAATGCAGAATTCCAGAGACAGTTCCTGGATCCTGGAGCAGCTCCAGCGAGAGTGAATACTCTCGGAATTTCAGCAAAGAGTATCTTCGCCTCTTCCCGCTTAAACACTCAGTACGTGCTCCTCAAACTCGAATATAAATTCCTCAAGTATTTGAGAAGTTTCGGAACGGAAGTCATCGAAGTCGTGGTACGTATCAACAACCTCAGATTTTTCAATGACATAACTTGGATAATTAACGTGAATTAACTAATAATACAATGTTTATGTATTATTTCTTAAAATTAATTTGTTTAAGTAATTATAATATTTTAAATTGTATGTAAATTATGTAAAAATTATGTCTTCTCTAGATGGTTAAATATATCGATAACTGTCTTGTTGTTGTTAAGATTTTATTAAAAAATATTAGTCATAATAAAGTTACTTTATATTTCTCTCTCTCTCTTTCTCTTTTTGCACGTAATTTCATCAATTTATTGGCGTTTTAAAGATATCAAATTTAAACGATATTCGACATTCTTTTAAATTTTGATATCTTTGTCGTTGTTAATAATTACGTTTTTTTTTCTATGCAGACGTATTACAAAATGACTGGTCTCTAATCGGTGAATAAAAAATACGCCGCAAAATTAATCTTTTTTGTTCTTCATTTTAAAAGAAAGTCTTATTGTTGCTCCACGTTTCCTAATAACGGATCAAATAGGAACTTGCTTGAAAACGTAGTAACGTTTACTGGCACATTATACTCTTTTTACGCTAGAAAACGAAGATTATATATATGTGCATACAATATATAATACGTAACGAAGTATCGCAAGGATATTTATAAATATGCATGGTATGACTTGCATTATATACACTTGCCTTATATAATTGCTATGAACCGTGTTAGTCATTGTGTAAAGGTTTTTGGAAAACAAGTATTTTTGGTTCCATGTAGAAAGTAACAAAATTATCTCTGCGTACATATATGTAAACAAAAATAAAATACAATTTCCGTTTTACTCTTTATAAATTTTCATTTATCGTTCACTTTATTTAAATCATCGAACCGTTGTTCGTTAATTAATTCGTTTTTCGATTTTTTTTTTTTTTTTTTGATTAAACCAATATTACTAACAGAAGACTGAACAGTGGTCCAAGCTCATCGAAGACATTCCTTTTTTTACCTATATTTAGATATAATTATATCTGTATAAATTTGTGGCAGTGGTATATATAGGCACATATATTATCCGCATTTCTCTGCATGATTCTTCTCTACTGTATAATGATAGCAAATCCACAGATGTTATAAAACTTTACCCTACGCATTTTTTACAAATATCTAATCACTTCAAAGTGTCTCGCGAATTCATCAGGTATTCAACATATACCATTCGTCAAGATGATCGAACGCGAGCGTTTTCTCTTCACTTCTTTGTCCTATTTTCGACGTTTATAGTTGAAGTCACTCCATTGAGTTCATCTTGGATTTGCTTAAGAGTCTTGCCTTTTGTTTCAGGCAACAGCATTACCGTGAAAAAGATACCAATGATGCAGAAACCTCCGAATATCCAGAAGATCACGTACTTGCCATTGAAAGCTTCTTCAAGATTGACGGAGAACTTGATCATGATGAAGCTCAAGCCTTCGCTAAAGAAAACAGTTATACTAGAACCTTTAGCCTTGATGTTCGAAGCGAACATCTCACCCATCAATGCCCATGGAATCGGACCCCAGCCTACGCTGTACGTGGCAATGTAGACGATAAGCGCGACCATCGGCAACCAGGATATCTGCTCTATCACGTCATCCGCGTGCTGTACCTCCTTCAGATAGAAATACAAACCCAGAGCACACTGCAAAATAAATTACACGACGATGCTCGCAAAGTAAATAGCTTCTGTTTAATCAAATCTAAATAAAAAATCTGATAAAAGTATAATAATATTAAGTGATATCTGATATTAAATTTGATAGCATTTCGTGCTTATTAATTAAACGTGATTTTAAACATAATCGCATTGCTTGGAATAAAATTTATCTTTATAATTTTTAATGATATTAATATAAATTCCTCAAAGTTTCTTTAAAAACTACAACGTATGTCCACTCTAACAAACTGTTCAAGTTCATCATTCTGTTGCAAGGCGAAATTACAACTCGTTTCATAAAATAGGGAGTAAACTTTATGACTTTACCGCATTACGTTTATCGCTTCATGAATACACTAATTTTGAACACACTTTTCATGCAAATTTCAGAATTTTCAGAATTATCTGCTGTTTATCAAGAGAGTAGTATACGAGAACTTTCTAAACGTTTTAATGCACGATATATTAAGTACTAGTTCATATATTCCTGATATTTTTCTTCTTATATTTAACGCAAAGCTTTAATGTTATTATAATTGATTTCTGCTACTAATTATCTTTGTTAGTGAGGCAGTATGTACTCAGTATCAATAACAAAATAAGATATGACGAGCTTCTCATAATTAAGTTAAATTACATCCCAGGTTAAAATTGAATTAATTTTTTCTTATTTTCATGAGTGTAATTATTCTAATTCATCGTTAATTATATAATTTAAAGTTAAATCCAAAAATAGAGACAATTACTCACCGTACTGATTAACACTCCAATTCCAGAAAAAATAAGGAGACTCTTTCTACCTGATCTGTCGACAACAAAGGGTGTCACCATTGACCCTAACAGATGCACGACTCCGACGACAATCGGCGCTATCTCCGATGAGACAAGACCTCCGGCAGCGATAAAGATATTATGTATATACACCAGCACGACACTGATGCCGATAAGCTGCTGCAAGGAAATCATGGAGCACGTGTAAATCAGCGCCTTTAAGTTCACTTTTACTCGAAACAAATCCGAGATCCTGGCTTGATTTTTGAAAGCCTCGTCAAGTGTAACCTGAAAAATCGAAAGCGAGACCGAATTTATTAAGTAAAAATATGAAAATGGGAAGCGTAATAGTGTACCTAAAATATTCTAAAATAAATGGAATAATATAAAGCTCAAATTATCGCTATAAGATAAAGTTTCAGGTCAATCGTAGCTTCTAATTCCTCAAAATGGTTTTCAATGTTAATTATTTCTGCAATTATATTATATTTTGCGATTGTTTCAACGCTGAAACAATAGCTACATTTCCTCGTTTATTATATAGTCGCGTACGACTGAAAGAGCATTCTGCAGTTCTGCAACACGCTGTATAGCACGCAAAGCATAATTGTCCCTCACAATTGTGCGACATTGTCGTTTAGGATCAAAGAAACTGTCTGCGATCTCGTTTGTCTGACACGACCTGACGGACAATATACACTCGGACATGCGTTTAGCTACGATCGAGTACATGTTCGTAACAGTGTAGGTGGATAGCATTAGCGTAGACTACTTTGTCACTCGAGAAATCAACGAATCCATAAACGGTCGCAATTAGCCATTTTTATTACAATAACTTATACCGATTGCATATTTTTCATACCGAGTTTTTCATAAAATCGAATATATCCCGACAATTTGAATTTCTCAAGGGAGAATTAATATAGGTGGTCAACAGAAAGTTGATTTAATTCTTTACACTTAAGAAAATTACCAGCTTTACTGACTTTACTTACCTGTATTTCGTCAGCCTCCTTCTGGACAGCCGCTTTGGATTTGCTTCGAAGTCTCGCTAGTGATGCGATTGCCTCTTCTCTGCGGCCCTGGCTGAGAAGGAAATACGGAGACTCCGGCATCATCATGAAGCAGACGAAGAAGATCACCGGCAGGATGGCACAGAGAATCCACAAGACCACGTAACTGACGAACGGTCCTACAATGTAAGAATATAGGATGCCGGTCGCGTTGAAAAGCGCAAGAAAAGAACCCAACGCTCCCCTGATAGAAGTCTAAAAGAATACAACAATAGTTTGTTATTATATGTATAACAAGCAATTTATTTTAATATTATTTAACAAACAAATGAGCCAGAGAGATTGAACAGTATATACAAAAATTTATACACATATATACGTTATACCAATTTTAATCATCATTTTTTAAACGGAAAACAGAAGAAAACGTGATACTGCTTGAAAACTCTGAGTGTAAATGGTTGTATCGCTTGTACATATGCAAAATAAATTTACCTCAGCGATTTCGCAACAATACATAGGAAGGATTGTAAACGTGATAGCTAAATTCAATCCAAATATAAATCGAGCGACATAAAGCTGTGCGACGTGATGTGCAGTGGCGACAAGTGTCCATCCAATTATAAATGGCACCAGAGAAGATAGCAATGTTCGTTTACGGCCCCATCTGTAGAAAAAGTCAACTTTTTATCGCCTGCAAAATAGGACGCGTCTAGTTAAATCGCTATTTTTGCGAAATTATTCATGCGTGTAATTAAATTGTTAATTTATATAAACATACCTGTCTGCGAGATATCCAGCCACGGAGGTGCCGAAGATAGCACCGATGGACGCCAGAGATCCTATCCAAGAACTCTGCTCGCTGCTGATCGGTGACCCCAAAGGTCCACCATCCTTTAATAATTGGGGTAGGACCGGACTCGTCCACGCTCCAGCCGCACCAGCCGCGACGACAGATAAACTAGCTGTGATTGTACAAAATTCTAGGATGTACAAATAGAAAATACCAAGATAAATAATTGCTGGAGTATTTACGTAATTTCTTCTCGCGCTTAATTACTATTATTGTTTAATTATATATTAAAGCTGGATTTTTGTTTTGTCAGAAAGGAAACTCTTAAGAGAGATATCTGTCTCAAAAAAGAAAGATAGAACGATGTTTGTGTCGACTTGTGTCGCTTGCTGGAAAGCTCCCAATCGTTTACGCGATAAATCCGTGCCAAGTATTATTACGAATTTATATAGATTCATACAGATACGCGCCCGAAATCATTGCTTCGCAATATGAAATACGAATGTGTTATGTGTTACGAGATAACGTGAATAGAGAAAGAATATTTGGCACGATGCTTTATTTTCGATGAAAAATTTTTATGATTATTTTTCGGTAACTAATGTAACTATATCATCTATCGATTATACCACGCACTGAATGATTTAACATTTCTCTTATCGTTTAACCAATCAGGATAAGATTTACATATCTTATAATTTTTTATCACGTTGTCAATATGATTATATTGGAATTTAAAAGTCTAATAACCTATTTTTTTATAAATAGAAATTTAAATATCAGATAATTAAAGTTGCGCTTTCAAAACTTTCAGCACAAGTAAAAGCTTCTAATACGATTCTTAAGCAAGCAAGAATTAACAAAACAATTAATAATTCTCGGGTTGAAGTTGAATTATTATCAAAAAATACGTATAAAGTAGACTCCAATAAATAAATAAAAACAGCGTTTTGACAATGAATTAATTTGATTTCTTTTCCTCAAGGATGCTGCCCTTTATGGACGCGAATTTACCCGCTATACCAGCCAGGAATTGAGGGAGCTTGGAACCTTTCTCCGTCATCTCTTCGAGATAGTGATGGCTGACGATGGTCCTGTCACATATGTTAAACTTCCCGACTGGAGTGTATAATGCACCGAAGAGGAACTCACTATAGGTACAGGGTTGTAGGCATATTATTTATAAGAGTGCCCTATCTACTCATTGCCTCGAGTGGGGGAGGTCGTATCCTCGATCTGTAATCGTCTCGATCTCCACGTCTCTCTCCCACTCATTTTTTTTGCCGCTCCTCGCAAAGCGCGATCTCGATCGCCGTCGCTGCGGCGCAGGCGATGCGGGATGCAACGACGTCTCGAGACCCTGAAACGAGACGCCATGGTCAAGGTCGTGCGGTGACGCCGCATAACGATGTCTAGGGCTTAGGAAACTCCCCGAGACCGAAAGAAACAGATCGAGTTATAGAAAAACAAAGGGATAGACGGGAATTTATTTGCGAATTTTACTTTTAGGATCTCATTAAGGTGCTAGATTGAATGTTTGTGATGAAAGAAAAATTCTATCTATTTAAAATAATATGTAATATAGTAACTTAATCTTTCCCGATGTATTCTCATATTTATTCGTAATATCTTTTTTTATCAGGAAACGAGATTCAGCTTTATAATAAGTGAGGTATAACTATAATGCTAAAATAGCAGCCACATTAAAATAAGGAAAGCAATGGTAAGCAACAAGTATACGCAGTATTTTGAAATGTATATTTTATTTATTTATTACTTTAATAATTTATATACAAAAATATATCATTGTGTATTAAAATATATACAATATGGCCATAAACAGTTGATATGTAGCAGATAAAGAGTAGAGCACTGTCTTGAATAAGGTCTGTCATTTTTTAAAATTAATTTGCCATTTGTACAAATCCGAACGTCTTGCGAAAGGCAAAAGGAACCTTATAGACAGTGTCATTCATTATTTATTAATATAGTAGAGTGTTTTCTTTATATATACTTTATAAAAGTTATTTCAAAACGTCAATATTATCTACATTAAAAATTGTTTATAAAAATCTTTTTTGTTGATTAATATATGCAGCCAGCGCTTATTTGTCAATAGAATTTATCAATCTTTTTAATATAATTATAATTTCCATTATTATAATTTTATCTGGCAAATTAGATTTTGAAAGCAATATATCAGAATAAATAGAATAATTTTTTTAATATTAAAATGCTTCAGTATACTGATTGTGAGACGATATTACATTAAAAATTTGTCGTATCTCTTCTTAAGTTGTTAGGACTAAAAAATGCATCGCGCGTTTATAAATAATACTACTTATTAAAATAATATTACAATGTTACTCATAATAACTTAGATAATTATTGTGAATCAACTAATAATACAATGTTTTATTATGTCTTAAAATTATTTTGTTCGCGTAATTATAATAATTTATGTTGTATGTAAATTATGTAAAATTGTGTTTTCTAGATGATTAGATATAACGATAACCGCCTTGTTGTTGTCAATATTTTATAAAAAAAAGTTATTTCATGTTTCTCTCCATTTTTTTGCGCCGTATATATTCACCAATTTATTAGCAGTTTTAATGATATCAAATTTCTACGCTACTCGACATGAAATTTTCTTTTAGATTTCGATATCTTCGACGTCGTTGTTAATATAATTACGTTTTCTTTCTATGCAGACGTATTATAAAATGACTAGTCTCTCATCCGTGAACGAGAAATACGCCGCAAAATTAATCTTTTTCGTTTTTCATGTTTTACGCCACGTCCAGCAAAATCTCGATAAAATACGCGTAAAGGAGTCGTATTGTTGACTCCACCGCGTTTTCTTAATCACGGACCAGAATCAGGAACTTGCATAAAAACGTAGGAACGTTTACTAGCACATCACAAATTCCTTTACGCTCGGAAGACGAAGCTTATGGACAATGATACGTGACAAGGTATCATTAACGCGAGCGTATTTACGAATATGTATGATATGACCTGCATTATATACACATACAATTGCTGTGTGCCATATTATGCATAGGTGTTTGGAAGACGATGAAGTATTTTTGGTTCCACGTAGAATACAACAAAACTGTCTCTGCGTAAACATAATATATGAGCAAAAATAGAATCTATCCCCGTTTTACTCTTTCTAAATTTCTACTTATTATTCATTTTATTTAAATTATCGAACCATCATTCGTTCATTGATGCGTTTTCCATTCTTCTTTGTAATTTAAGCAATATTAATAACAGGAGACTGAATGGTAATCCAAACTCAATGATATATTTTTGCCCATATTATATCAACAATATATATAAAGGCAGTGTAATATAGGCACGTATATTGTTCGCATTCTGATATTCTACTTGATTCTTCTCCGCTGTAAATGATGTCAAATCTCTAGATATGTCATAAATATATAAAACTGTACTCCACGTATCTTTTATAAATATCAAATATCTTTAAAGTGTCTCGCGAATTCGTCAGGTGTTCCGCGTACACCATTCATCAGGATAATCGAAGGCGAATATTCCCTCCTCATTTCTTCGTCCCATTTTCGACGGTTATAGTCGAAGTCACTCCATTGAGTTCGTCCTGGATTTGCTGAAGAGTCTTGCCTTTCGTTTCAGGCAACAGCAGTACCGTGAAAAGTACACTAAGAATGCAGAATCCTCCGAAGATCCAGAAGCCCCCGTACTTGCCATGGAATGCATCCTCGAGGTTGCTGGAGAACTTGGTGATGATGAAAGCCAAGAACCAGCAGACGAAAACCGTTATACTGGAAGCTTTAGCCTTGACATTCGAGGCAAACATTTCACCCATCACTGCCCATGGAAGCGGGCCCCAGCCTACGCAGTACGTGATAATGAAGATGATGAGCGCGACTATCGGCAACCAGGATATCTGCTCAACCACGTCGTTCGCGTGCTGTACTTCCTTCAGGTAAAAATACAAGCCCAGGGCAAACTGCAAAATAAATGTCCAGTCACATGACAAGCTCGCAATAAAAGTCTAATAGCAAAAATCAAAATTTAACAAAAAAATTCAGTGCTATTGAACATGTTCGATGCTAGAAGAATTGTGATCTATGATGACGCATTATTGTTATGAAAAATTTCTGAAGTTTTTCACAATTTTTAATATTATTAAATTTCTAAAGTATCGAGATATGTTCCAAAGTATCTAATGGAAAAAAGCAACTCAGGTTTCGAAAGATCCTAAAAAGAAGAATTATAATTTTCTCAACTCTTTCTGCCGTGTGTTATCGTACGCGCGTCTGCCTTCTGTCTGTAAATTATGTAATCGTGCACACACGGTCACGTGGAAGTTCTCTAGCTTCGTACATTGAATTACATCCGATACATCGCATTCCATTTCAATGCGTAATGATAATTCGTATGTACAATGCTCGACCTTCCTCGTCTCGCATTGTACATCCGCGTGGTTCGCTGTTATATATTTCCCGCACCGATTTCACCGAGCACGGAAACTTTACCGTATCGGGCATCTATATTTATCTGATCTACAGAGAGGATCGTGCGAGTGGTGATCTCAAGTCGCGACTCAATCCTCTTTGTCAGGTAATTAAGTAATTTGCCCCGAGAATGATTTCCTCGAAGGTGAGATGAGTGATAAAAGAAAGAGTCATTAAATGCAGCAAATGTAATTATGCATGGCGATGCGTAAACGCGCGACTGAGGAATGCGTTTAATGATCTGCATATAATCCACGAGATGAAAATTAATCGGCACGCGATAAATCGCGCCAGTCATCTACAAATTATCGTCAACAAAAAATATTTATAGGATATCAGTACCAGATTAATACATAACAAAATTTTATTTTTCTCTAATTTATCTCATTGAACGACCAGATTACGAGGCTTACAAAAAACAAACGTCTGTTTAATGCAATTTAAATGAGGAAGCTGATAAAAATGACAAGTTGACTAACTTGGGTTTGAATCTAAAAATAGAGGCAATTACTCACCAAACTGACTGTCTCTCCTATCCCGGAGAAAACGAGGAGCATCCTTCTACCTAATTTGTCGACAACCAAGGGGGTGACCATTGACGCAAGCACCTGTACGACTCCGATGATAATTGCCGCTATCTCCGATGGGACAAGACCTCCGGCAGCGATAAAGATCTTTTGCATATAGAACAGTACGACGTTGATACCGCTAAATTGCTGGAAGGAAACCATGAGACATGTGTAGATCAACGCCTTGAAGTTCACCTTCACTTTGAATAGGTCCGAGATGCTGGCTTGATTCTTGAAAGCCTCGTCAAGTATCACCTGGAAAATTGAAAGCGAGACGAATTTATTAAGCAATAAATATAAAAATTGGAGCATAAAAGTTGGCTAGAATATTCTGAAATAAATAGAATAATATAACGACCAAATTATTATTAAGAAATAAAGTTACGTTTTCGATATAAATTCGACCACCATGACCTAGATTTTGATGCGTACTTTAATTCTAGACAAGAATTTTGCATTTCTATAAAGCCAATTAAAAGATTAGTGCTAAGAAAAAAACCGAAAAAAACCGGCTAAAATCACGGCTTTAGGATCACCTTAACACTGAAGCAAATTTGCTGTCCACTTACAATTTCTCAAAATTGTTTTCAATGTTAATTACTTCTGCAATTATATTATATTTTGCAACTGTTTCAACGCTGAAGTAATAGCTGCTTTTCTTCGTTTAATATATGGCCACGTACGACTGAAAGAACACCCGGCAGTTCTGCAAGACTCTGCATTGTAGGAAGTAATGTTGTCTGCAAGTCAGTCATAACTGTCCCTCACGACTGTGCGACATTGTCATTTAGGATCAAGGAACGGCCTTAGCCGCGACCTCGTTTGTCTAACGTGATCTGACAGGCAATATATACTCGGACATGCGCTTAGCAATGAGATCGAGTACGTGCTCGTGACAGTTCAGATAACATTAGCGACTATCTTGTTACTCGAGAAATCGACGAAGCCTTAAAGGACTCCGAATGGAATTAGCAATTTTTATTAGAATAAATTATACAAACTGCATATTTGTCGCGCGCTCGCACAGATTTTTTCATAAAATTGAATATCCCTACAATTTGAATTTTCGTGCGAAGTGTTGATAAAAAGTCAACTAAGAATCGAATTGATACTTAACTCTTAAGAATCTTGAGATTCTTTTAGAGCAGAGGAATTTATAAGAGAAAATTATGCTTTGCTGACTTACCTGTATCTCGTCGGCCTCCTTCTGGACAGCCGCTTCGGATTTGCTGCGGAGCTTCGCTAGTGATGCGATCGCCTCATCTCTGCGGCCTTGATTGAGAAGAAAATACGGAGACTCTGGCATCATCATGAAACAGACGAAGAAGATCACCGGCAGGAGGGCACAGAGAATCCAGAAAACCACGTAGCTCACGAACGGTCCAATAGCGTAGGCATATAGGAAACCGATCGTGATAAAGAGCTGAAGAAAAGAACCCAACGATCCCCTGATAGAAGTCTGAAAAGATATAACAATAAGATGTAACAGATGTAACAATAAGATATAACAAAAAGATGTAACTTCTTAATACCAATTTATCGTCATGTTTTAAACGAAAAACAGTAGAAAGCACGATAGTCCTTGAAAACTCTGCGCATAAATGGTTGCGTATAAATGTACAACTTGTATGCAAAATAAGTTTACCTCAGCGATTTCACCACAATACATAGGAAGGTTTGTGAACGTGATAGACACAGCCAATCCAAATATGAATCGAGCAATATAAAGCATAGAAACGTGGACTGCACTGGCGATAAGTATCCACCCAATTATAAACGGTACCAGAGAAGATAGCAGTGCTCGTTTACGGCCCCATCTATAAAAACAGAGAAAATCAGTTTTTTGTCGTCTTCAGTTTAGTTGCCTTCGTCAAGTATTTGCATCTGATGTGCTTTATAAAGATTGGTTCCTTTCTTTAGTTTCAAACTTGTACGCTCAGGAAATAGGATGCATAGTTAAATTGCTATATTGCAAATTATTCGTGCGTTCAATCGGACGACTAATTTATACAACACACTTTTCTCCAATGGATCCCGCTACGAAGCTGCCGAAGATAGCACCGAGGGCCACCAGAGATCCTATCCAGGAACTCTGCTCGGCACTGATTCGCGACCCCAAAGGTCCGCCATCGTCTTCCAATTTAGGGAGTATTGGACTCGTCCACCCTATAGCGGCACCAGTCGCGAGGACAGACAGACTACCTGTGATTGTAAAAAAATTCCAGGATGTATAAATGAAAAATATTACGATAAATAATTGCAGGAATATTCGCATAACTTCTTCGCGCGCTTAATCAACATGCTGTTAATCTCTTGTTAATCTCTCTGAATTGAATGATAGATAATTGAACGCGTTGTTAATCTACAACTTTCATATCAAAAGGCAATATCTCTTGATCGCTATTTTATCGCTTTACTGAGGCTTGATAATATATCCATCAGTCTACAAATGCGAATTTATATTAAGCCGTAGATAAACACGGGAAGATAAATCATAGTTATACGCGTTTATTCGCGTCTGTCTCGCCTGTCGCGCCTGTCAATCATTGTCACGTTTGTTATATTTTTAATATGTTTGCACTGTTAATACTTTCTAAGACACTGTTAGTTTAAGATTTTTTTTCTGTCCTCTTTTTGTTTGTATCATTTATGTGAATGTCAAACTATCAAATCAGATTTTATAATGAAAGAGATAAATCATTTCTCTTATTATATAATTATATATATAAGAATAGAGTTGTAACATGTTGCTAAAAATATCGAAATTTTATGTTTTTTTATTTAGACAGTCGTTTGCAAAAATTTACTCTTGTGATACATTTATTCTGTTGCGCGCGACACAAGATCTGTATATTTTTTACGAATTATAAATTCACATTAATTTAAACATATAAAAGCTAGAATTTTATTTCGTCAGAAAGAAAACCTTTAAGAAAGATGTCTATCTGTCTCTAAACAAAATCTCAAATTGAATTTTTTATCACTCCTTTTCCCGAAAGAAATTGATTTTCCGTCTCGAGATTAGCAATTCAATCATGCTAGTGATCGAGATAATTTACCAGCAATGCTCCGCTGACGAAATGCGAGTCAAAGCGCGCTTTGAAGATTTTTCCGGCGATAAAGTGGTTTTACATAATTGTGTATTTCGGGTAATGCGGTGAGGTTCAAGGCCCACGGTGCTTCCGGTTTTACCGAACAGCGAACGGTTTCGAAGCTTACGAAGCAGAGGTTTAAACTGTAATGCAGCAGAGGATATCCAGCAGCAGACTGTCGCAGGTAAATTTGATGTACCTTGAGATTTAAGTACCTCACAAGACTTAAGTAAAAGAATTTTTATTAATCCATCGCACGTCCATAAATTTAAATATTAAATTTTTTATTATAAATTGGATGAAATAAGAAACATTTATATTGCAAGAATATTTCGTACTTACAATTAGAACACTGCTACCTATAATAATATCCTACATTTTTTATATCAAACAGAGCATTTCATTTGCGTTTTGTATCATAAATCATAAATGAGGGACAATGCATATTTATATTTTCAGTGTATTTATATATTCTGAAAAAAACTTTGTGTTTATAATTAGTTCGTTATTATCCGACGATATTCTTATGTTAATAAATACTTAATTTATGTTCTGTATCACGAATGCGGGGAGAGATGACGCGGTGCCTTGGTGCACAAACATAGATTGAATTATGCGCTGATCTGTCACTTCGTTACAAATAGCCTACGCGCGATCAATAGAAAAATCGACAAAGCGATTATTATAATGATGTTCCGCGTCGCGGAGTTATCGCATTTACGTAATTCCTCGATGCGCCATGCAATTACATCGCCGATCGCGCGCGTCGCGATATCGAACTGGGCGGTGATGTGTCGTAAGAGCCCCGCACGCGCACGTGACATCCAAAAGATACAATTTCGCTAGTATTGTCATAACGTAATATTAGGGCTCAGACACAATGAGAGGCGTAAGAAACAAGGAATTAAACATAGTAATCGCATCTTTTTTCAAGACACAACTTTTTTCTTTTTTTCAAGACGCGGGATTCTCTCTATGTTTAATGCCTTGTTCCTTATTTCTCTCATTGTGCCTGAGTCCTTAAAGTTACTGTTAATGGCGCAAATACAGGATTGCACTTCGCGTTCCTATGGGAAAAAGATATCCTGGGTAGCTTTAACAATATCAATGAATCAGTCACGCGGAAAACAGCAAGCTATATTTCGTCGAATTTTACTGGCGTTGCTTTTGCCCACCATTGAAAATTGTTCTAAAATATTACAATTACAAACGCAATATTTATTTAAATATTTATGAACACGATTAGTCAAGCGTTTAAATATTTTGTGGTATATCCAGACGACCGTTAACAATATACGAAATTACAGAAAAAGAATTGCAGAAAGAGAAACAAGGGTATTGTATTTCCGCAAGATTTGTGTTTGTAATAATAAATTAATCAAGCTACAGTCTTATCAATGCCAAATTGTTAATTCGCGAGCAAAAATATGATCTGACGTAAATTGTCAAGCTACAGCTATATCAATGTCAAATTCGCTCGCAAACAAAAATATGGTCTGACGTAAGTCATCTTCAACGAGAATTAAAATTGTGACTTTCCTCAAACAATGTAACATAGAACTTCCTAATGTAATCTAAAACAATCTAGACAGCACCGCATATCTAGAAGACGTCTTAAAACAGTACCAAAGATGTCATAAATCAGAACATCTTAGAGAAGTTATCTTATAAAGTTGTCTTTCTGAATTTGTCCTTAAGATTAAGCTGTCTCTTAGATGTTCTATAAGACGCAATAATGCTGTCCCAAAGGTGTACAATCAATTTGTCTGCGCCACTCAAGGTTGATGACCTTTTTTGATACGCAAGTAAAATACGAGGCAAATGGAACTTTCGCATTCGTGGATCGTCGTCTTTGCGTGGGACTATCATCTCCGTGGTGGGGTCATTTCCTCTTAATCTCTTTGCGCGCGCGATAACACACGATTGCCGAGTTACTAGTTTGCGCTGAATTTAGTAAATTATTTTTTCATTAATCGCGCCTGACACGAGATGATAATGATTATCTATCGCCACGCAATAAATTCGTGCCAAAATATTATCGCGAATATATAGATTCAGATAGATACGCGCCCGGAATCATCGTTTCGCGATGTAAAACACGAATGCGCCAAGAGATAACGTGAAGAAAGAAATAGTTGTTTGACACTTGATGCCTCATTTTTGATCGTGAAAAATTTCCGCGTTGATAATCACTTTTTTGTAACTGTATATTATTCATCGATCATACCATGTACTTGCCGAACGATTTGACATTTCTCTTATCGTTTATTTAACTAACCAATATAATTTATTTTATAACTTTAGATCGCGTTACAAGTCTATATATAATTATAGTGAAGTTTATAGGTCTATTAACCTTATATCCTTTCAGAAATAGAAATTTAAATATCAGATAATTAAAGTTGCACTTTCAAAACTTGTTGAAAGTAACGGTTTCCAATACAGTTCTTGAAGCAATTAAAAATTTTGGAATTAATACAATCGTACTATTACATATTCGCACATTTTAAATATTATCTGCAATATTAAATAATATTCTATATTGACATATTTTTTTGTTGAAACAGTAAGCAATTCTGTTATGAGATAATTTCACGCTTCAACAGATTTCACCTTTAAATGCGCAATTTTTCGTATATAGCATTCCGAATATTTTTCTGAGTATTTTTCCCGTCCTGGGCCTTTCCATCCAGAAGGGAAAGAAGAGCTAGAGAAGGCCCTTTACAGATATGCAAAACCGCGTGTTTTTATTTCGAACTTCATAAAGGAGAGTATTTACGGATCATCAAAAGTCGTTTCGCAAAATTATGCACTTAAGGGGTTAAAATCTTTTCATGACTACTGAATAAAAGTGGAATATTTTGAGACGAGATGGGGCGTTATCTGGCGAGACTTTCAAAATAAAAATGCCAATATCGAAGGCGTGCCGCTGAAAATGCAAGGTCGATGCTCTTTTGCCCCCGAACGAGATATCAAAGTTGATGCTGCATTAAATAGTCCAAGTTAGAAAAGCACAACGATGACCCGTCGTTGAACGGGTAATCCTTCTTAATCTTCTTAATTTTATTTGTCGGCTCGTTGAAGCTGCATTCGCAGTGCGCTCTTTTGTTGCGAATTATACATGACAATAACTACCTCTTTATTTACGCCGCGTTCACGCGCGCAGCACTACGCGCGTGCTGGATTATCGCGCGGGACAGAAATGGACGACAAAATGGCCTGGGCGTGCGATAAAAATCGATAAGTAACGAAACGCAGTTAAATCTGCTTGCGAAACGCTACACCGCGCGAATCGCGAATTATAGAGTGGAAGTCTAAAAAAAATGACACCTCGAAATATGAAGAAATTTCGTGTTGCAAAAGTATTTGTTCATAAATTTATTAGCCTGCAACTTAAAATATTCAATTTGCGCCGTCAGAATTTAATTTATTGACACTTTCAAAAATTTACAACGTAAAGCTCAACTTGAAAGATTCTTATAATGTATGGTATGTATTCTTTTGTGTGTGTATTATGTATTGTATACAAGACATTATGTAATCTTAAAAAAACCGTCGTGGAATAACATTAAAAAATCATCAATCACGCCAGCGATCAAGAAAAGTGCGATCATAAGAATCGCTTTTATCGTCGCGATAAGGCAATTCAGATTACAGTTAACAGGAAATACAATCTTCTGATGCAAAAAGAACTGGCCTTCTCTTCCGATCGTCGAACAATGTCGCGCCGAACGAATCGCCTAACGAATTACGATAATGGGACACGTGACGAAACACGATTACGTTTCGGAAGATTAGTGCGTGATTTACGCTTGACAGCCAGAAAAGTCTGCGCATCGTCATATATTTTCACGCGCGATTGTAAATATTTATATGTCACCGTCATTTACGTTGCAAAATCGTTCGCATTGACGTTGCGCCACGGTCAGCCGACAAACATCGACGTCCGCTCGACGAAACGTTCGAACTGTATCCGACACGTGAGCAAAATTGCATCTAATTAAAAATGGGAGCAACGAGATAGGATAACGTAATCGATATAGTTAACGACGGGCGAGAGAGAGAAAGGCGTTACCGCGGATAACGCGATATATTCGGAAAAATCTCGATTGGGAGTATAAAAATATCACGACAATGATATATCCATTGCGTAGCTGTCGATACCGTGAAACAGTAAAACTGGATTTTTACGCGAGATCTCATCATGGGGCACGTGACGAGAAGACCGATAAAGATAAATAAATCAGGTAAACAACTCGTCGCAAAAGGCTCACAATAAACTCAACGAATTTTATGGACGGATATATGGAAAAATACGAATCACTTCCAACAACGTTTTCGAAAGGGTAAATTCTTTATTCTCTTCTCTAAACATCTAGGTAGAGAAAACAAACAAAAATCCAGAGATTCTTCTTTTATGAATGTCAAGCGCATTTTTCGCCTTAATCGACATTTAAGTGAGAACCTGTTCATTGAGTCCACTTAGCAATGTAGATTAAAAGATATTAATTACGTTTGACGTCTATATGCATGGGCAAGATAATAAAATTTTGTTTTCCAATTAAATCCAGTTAACTTCTTCGATTAACTCCAAATAATCTCATGATTGTATTTTATCAAAGGTATGCCACTTTGTGACTTAATAAACAAGATTGAAGTATTAGGCTTTTAAAAGTGGCAGATAATGCTTCGAATTACGATGCATTATAAATCTCTTACGGCATCGAGATTAATCTTTTGGGCTTTTGAGCTTCTGTATTAAAGCTTTTTGCTTACAACAGAATAATTTAAAATCTTCGGGAATGGAAGGCTGACAAATGTATTTTTAACATTGTCGATGCAGAAATTCCAATACATATTAAAGTGACTTTTGCCAAGTAAGTTAACAAATGTATTGCATCAGATGTTCATTCGCGGGACAGATTGTAATGCAATGTCGCCTATCGTGCATATTCTAGTAAAATATATTACATGCACGTATGGCCATGAGGTATCCTGGCCTTTCGTCATGGAAACTTTGACGTCACGAGGACAAGTCGATGCCACGAATGTGGACTCTTCGATTGTCATGCCGGGGTTCAAGTCAATAACAAATAGAGAAATCAAATCCACTGGTTCACGCATAAATAATTGCTGATTAAGATACGGGGATCTCCGTTTCTCTCCGTTCAAGGATTCCCGCTCTCGCCGCCTCGCGTGATTTCCGATTTCGCGCGAATCGGCATTGCAGAGCTAATCAGAGCTGATCTGAATTTTTATGTGTCGGACGCGTGTCGTCGCGCGCTGCGCGCATGCAGAAATTTAAATAATTCAACCTCGCGCGATTCTCCCCGTCGAGCGGCGCGATTCAGTCACGCGGAGTGTCGCGGAGAGAAAATCGAACGCGAAAATCTTAATGATACACGAAGCGAGGAAGCGTCCTGTGATTTTATTCCTTCTCGCTGACCAGGTGGTTTCGGTAAGAAACACGCATCGTGGGTCGTGGGAGAATCGAACGCTGATTTCCATTGAGGATGAAATTGCTCTCAATTCGACCGGTGATCATTACCGAACAATCGAAGGGCCGCTGGCTCTCATTACGAATTCGATTGGACTCCGCGGCCGGGCCCCTCCAACTCGGAATTCTCACTTCGGGCTCTCGTTCAATCTCAGGCTGTGCCGCCTGCATCGCGGTAATGAGGAAGTAGTTTAAACCGATTGCGATCTTTGTCGGTTAAAATTGAATTCGGTCGAGCGCCGGATGTGAATCGTTTAATATTCCCGTCATCCGAGTAACGCGAAGGACTCGCCGACGGACATGAATCGTGGCACGTATATAGCCGGGCATTGTACCTCCGTTCTTTCCCGAGTGAGTTTTCGATGCTAATATCTCAAGTTCTAGCTAATCTCAAACTTGGCTCGGTCGATCGGAATCATCGAGACTAATAATTATCTCTCGGCTTCCTCTTTCTCACCGCGTAATAGCGTCGCGCGAATTTAGTAGCGAATTGAATCGCCACGTTTATTTTCCTGCCATTTTTCGCGAATCTTCGGTTCTCGTCAAAACCATTTTAAAAACATCGTAAATTTTCTAAATACTTTTATGATGAGTCCTCACTTTTTGCTAAAACAATTTAAGAAAATTATTTTAAAACAAAAAGTATCAACGAAAAGTTTACTATAAAGTTTTGCTAAACGATAAAAGTCCTCTTTGATAAAGTTATTTCTAATTATATTATTCTAGCGATAAATGCTCGCGTTATTTTCTCTCATTGTTTATTATGATTACTGTTTATTGGTAACTTGAAAAAGGAAAATTGAATAATTGATAAAAATACAATAGAAATCCTTATATTACGACGATATTATTTGTATTTGATCACGTATTAACCTGGGGTAATATTTTCGTTACATTATCGTTGAGTTGTCACATTATTGTTTACTAAACTTTCATAAAGTAAATAATTTCATAAAGGGGCCAGCGAACAAAGCTCGTTCTTAGCGCTTATAATTATATATTACAAGCGACGAATATACATATATTCATAAAGTAATATTATTAGACTTTATCGCGTGTCGACGTAAATTATAATATATGTAAACGTAAACAATATTTAAGACGGAATGATTCTGCTTTGCCCTCGCGTATTTGTTTGTTGTCTTTGACTTGCGTCAATAAATTATTTCCTGCGATGGAAAAAGAGGCAAACAGACGACTGTGAAATATTTTATTAATATAAAAGTAAAACGGGGGGACAAAGCGTACACGAGAACAATTTCAATTCCCGTGGACATCGATGATGATCGTCTCACGCATGTGCAAAATGCAGCGTGCTTCACACGTGGTGAGGAGCCGGCGGGACCGCCATGCCTCTGCATTTTCTTCAATTAATGTCACTCATATCAAAAGAGTAAGTGCACCATTAAAAAGCAAATCGTATGATTTATTACTCCCATTATTCAATTTGATCGTTTTAAACCCTCTGCACTACGCCGATGAATGTATAATACAATCCAATTCTTCTTTTGAAGAGGGGGGGATTTAAAAAAACAATCCCGCGCGCATAAAAGAATCAAATCAAATCTAATGTTACACTGTGCAAATGTATTGTATTAACAGCTTTTGACGATCTTCCTTGACGAGATTCGAAAATACAGAACGACCGGAATATGACAATAAAATCGACGCGAAGAACGTCCCCAAAGCGTCGAGTTGATCGATCGGGTTGTGTGTAACGCAAGGGTGATTATTCGTCGTATCTCAATCAGAAATTCACCACACCAGTACATCGTTGATGAAATAGAAAATTTTCCGCACTTAAAATTGAAAAGCACTATAGCCAATTAATTATAAAAATTAAATAAGCAGTGTATTATTTATGCATTGTACCTGCAATTTTGTTTTATAAAGTTCTATTTTAAAAATTTCAACATAATTTCAATTACCGCATAATGAAACAAAGTAATAGCTATAACCGTTATTAATAACTAGAAAGTAACGGCAAAATTATGATAATGCGTAATGCTGTTGCATAAACAATTAAATACACGTTTTAAAAAAATTAATCCACCAAGTACCGACATCATATTCAGAAAATAATTCAAAAGTAACGGTCTTTTACTTATTATTATAATTTGAAGAATTTTTCCAATGTTTTCTAATCGTTAAAGTTGAATTGTTTTGAAGAAATACATGAAAAGTAGAGATAAATAAGTCTAAGAAAACAATGTTTTGACAATGAATTGATTTAAAAAATTTTTATTCTCGAGGATTTAGCCTTTCATTGACAGACGCGAACTTACCCGCCCCTGCAGCCAGGAACTGAGGTAGCTTGGAACCCTTCTCCGTCATCTCTTCGGGATGGGCGACGATCCTGTCGCGTATGCTCAACTCCACGGATTCTCTGACCGGGGGTGTACCGGGTGTACCATACACTGCCGAAGGGGAACTCACTGGTACAGGACTGTAGGCATAGTCTATATAAGAGCGCCCCTCTATCTCCTCATTGCCGCGAGTGGGGGTCATTTTTACGATCTCTCTTTCTCGCTTGGCTTCCTCCGATTGTTCCCACGTCTCTCTCCCACTTGTTTCTTTTGCCGCTCCTCGCGCGAAGCGCGATCTCGATCGCGGGTCGATCGCCGTCGCTGCGAACGCTGCGGGATGCAAACGACCGACGTCTCGAGACCTAGACCCTGAAACGAGGCGCCGCCGTGGTCAAGGTCGCGCGGCGTCGTCGCAGAGAACGGTTTCTAGGGAGCTACCCCATCGAAAAGGATGCCCTTGACCGAGAGGAGCGAGTCGAATTATGGGGAAACAAGGGGACAGACGGGAATTTATTTCCGAATTTTACTCGGGATCTCCTCATTAAAATGCTGGAGTAAATTCAATTCGTGATTTTGATCATCAAAATGTTTGTGAGGAAAGAAGAGTTCTACCAATTTACCTTAAAATAGATAGGATAGTAATTTAAATCTTTCTCAATGTATTCACATATTTATTCGTGATATCTTTTTTTTATCGAGAAACGAGATTCAGCTTTGTAATAAATATGAAAATTAACGCAAAAATTGCAGTCGTAGCGATAAAGTTAAAAAATTAATAGTTACATTTCCGCTTTGTAGGAAAAAAAGAGTGAAAAATTGCACGATTCTAATATTAAACCCGCCTGCGTAATTATGCGCTAATTTGAATGCATTTCCAGAGAATTTCTGTTACAAATACTACGCGATAAATGCGCCCATTTACATCTTTCAGTTTGCGTTAACATCAAAATAAATGAAGACATTTATTTGAAAAAATAATTTGTTCCGAGATATTTTCTTTTTTTTCATGCTTAAAGTACTTTTAATATTAAACCTTCAGACATTAAAGTGTAGTTACGGGAATCGCTTCAACAAATTTTATGTCAGTTACAGCGCGAGCAAACCGTGCTGACGAAATCTACCCTTCGCAGAGTATCACCCTAATTCGAAGATGGTTCCCCTGGCGTTCTCCCTAATACAAGCCGAGAGAAAATCGATAACGCGCTGTACCAAACACGTTGTAATAACGCTAATGCAAATGAGTGGCGCGCGATCGATTAAATCACGAAGCGGAATCACAACAATGCCAAGCGGGACTTTTCGGTTCGCGTCTTCGTTTCGCGACATTCCGCTATACTGATTAATGTATCTGCATTTCTGACATCAATCTCGTATTATTAAACACGCTGTGTGACGGTAAGCGCCGTGTCGCTTTTCTCTCTCTCTTCCTTTTCTCGGCTTTCCGCGCGATGGAACGCGAAGAGATGGACGCGTCGTAATATTTCTATCCACTATAAATTGAACCATTGCTGGATTCCAAGTAATTCCAAGAAGATAATTCTATTACTAATACGGTCCGCTTACGTCAACGGAAAAAGCAATAAAATCCAGGACGAGATTTACGTCCTGCGACATCGACCCGCACAACCGATGTGTCACGTTACGCACATGCGTGCCGATTGCGAGTCGACAGCAGGTTCGCACGAGTAGAAACGATGTTGCTTTATAAAACTGAGAAAATACAGAAATAATAAAGAAAATTTAATTTCACGATAGAATACTCTCGTAAATCACGCTTGGCAAAGGGGCGTCCTTTCAGTTTTAAACGCAATTACGTTACGCGCTTGTTGGTAGAAGATCTCGATGGAAAACGGCAGTTGTCGCTTCGGTTTAAACTTCGGACGGAGATAAATAACTTGTAAAAATAATAAATAGATTATTGTGTACAGATGCTGTCCTTTTACCAAGCTCTAAAATAAAACGAAAACAATCCTTAGTACACGATTAGTGAATCTACATCGCGCGTTTCAGGATTAATTACAAAATATGTATATTTAAGCGTGTCTTATATGATATGCGAGTTTTGCATGCCGCTACATTTCTATGACATAAACTCAATTTTTTCACTGATATTTTCTATTAATTTCGTGAAACATTTGATTCATCTTTATTTCAAAAAAAGATTTATTAAAAAATATTAATTCTTTTTCTTTCTTAGATATTTGTTTATATTTAGAGAAAACATATTTGATTTTTCTATTAGAACAACTGCATTAATGCAGTTCTACATATACAGCACTTGTTTTGATAAAATTATTCTATTTGGGATAAAAAGCTTAATCTGATTCACAAAGCTAATTGTAATTAAATAAAGGCATACCAATGCAAAAAAACTCAATGTGAGCGTGTGTGCACTTGTTTTAATAAAAAAGACTCACAAATTCGATGAACACGACGCACTTTACTGTCGGTTATCTCTTTCGCGACTGATCGTGAATTAGAATGTTCGCAGGATGATTGAGCGAGTTCATACGAGTGGAATAGTTATTATCGCGACGACGAAAAATTCTGTTCCTCACACTTGTTCAATTGTTTTCGTCACGGAATTTTCAAGGGATCGATAATCGCTCCTCCCGCCGCACTTTCTTACGTATTATATGGAAAAAAAAAAAAGAAGTCGCGTATCGGTGAGATCTAATTGCGATCTACTGCTTATCGACGATAGCCGTGACAGTTTCGCGCGATATGCGAGAGAATAATAGTCGTGACAAGAGTCGTGACATTCTTTCAGAGACAGGATGTGTGTGGGGTGGAGGGAAGGGAGGAAAAAAGCAAAGAACGGACTTACCGATGTCGCACACACACGCACTGTCGTTAAAATGATCTTTTTCCTAAAGGAGAGCTGTGTTATAAATCTCCGATTATTTTTCTTTTTTACATAACAACAACGATAAATTATCGGAAATGTATCTCCGTGTGTCGCTGTCGCGTTAATCGCTCGATATCTCGATATCTTTGTCACCTCACTGGTAGCTCTTGATAACGATAAAGGCGTTTAATTTATATAACGGCTCTTCAATACCGATTACGCGTAAATTAGTCATGAAATATCGATCCATTGACGTTAGCAGGTTTTGCGGAATAGCAAACATTGCAAATCGCAAACACGCGATTTATTACATTCGTGTTTATTCAATCAAGCGAAACTATATCGTAACGATATCCTTCGCTTTCCTTCATTTTTATGATGGAATTTGCGTTTTCGTAGATGTATGGGGGATGCTGCTGCCTGCCTTAATTCGTTTCTTTCATCTCTTTCAAGTTTTCGAAACCTTCTTTGCTAAAAAGAAATTTTTAATGTCATGGTCGCGATGTTAATACCAACTAATAAAAATTCAATTCAAGTTCAAAATTGTACAAAAAAACCAAATATTTTATGAACTTCAAGAAACCCAGTAGGATCAAATAAAAGGCAAATTGACATCCAGGTTGATACCGATAGATCGCTCAAACTGTAGATCAATCAATTGTACAATATACAAACAGGATGCGCGTCTAGTTTGTGCGTAATTTGTACGACGTTTAAAACGCGATTAAACCAGTAATTATCGTACCAGAAGCGTAACTGTCGTGCAAGGCAAAACAAGGAAGCAATTTATTCGTTACGTTCTTCGCGACAGAATTATTTTCAACATTTTAATAAGCGAGCGCGACTAATTGCTCCAAGCCGAACGTGATTCATAATTTCACTCGCGAGCTTCTACGTAATCCGACTTTTAATTAATCATTACGTTGTATGTGAAAAAGATGGGTCGAATTAATCGGAATAAATAAAATCGACCGCGCGATTGTACGCGATTCCAAGGGAAATTACGGAGTTTATGCGAATACCGATCAACGTCAACGGTAATTAATAAGACTGAATTGTTACCATCTAGAGACCATCGAGAGAAATTAATCAACTAGAATTGCCGATACAGCTAATGGCATCTGAAATATATTGCACCAATAACATCGATTAACATTAAGCATGATGAATTTAATTTTCTAGCTCTATCCGTATGCCGCGGGCTATAATTTAGATGGAAACAATCGTAATCCTTAACGTTTATTCGAGGCTGCAGCTGCAACTGCATCATCCCCGTAGGATAAAATAACGAGACAATATATAACGAACGAAGTGGTAATTTATCGCTTGTAATTATATTTGTTTACATACCCAGTGTGACAAATCTATAAATTAGAACATACGTGAATTAAAGACAATCGCAAGATACAATGTCGTATATAATGATTCGCAAATAAATTGGATTAAGAACAATTGGAAACGGTCGAGTTTTCGTTGACACAACTGACAACTCGCCAAACATAATCACGAGATAATTATAGCATGATATAGGAGGCAATATTATGCATGGCAGAAGCCATCATAATGAGCAGAATTACGAGGAAAATCGTCCCGTATGTCAATAATTTTCACGTGATTATGTTTGCCCATGTGCCAACAGTGTCAACAGAAACTTAGCGTTTTCGTTTCTAATAGACTGTGAATTGTTCAGATCAGCGCTCTTATAATTCATTTTGTGTTTGCGCATCGTCATATAGCTCATCGTCACAATTCTCTTTAATCTGCGACAGTTTGCCTTCATTACAGTCTCTATTATATTATTTATAAAAACTAAAAGTAAGCTTCGCTTGATTAAAAAAAAAAATTTCTGCTAAAGAAGATTAATGCGTTGGATTGATTCGGAACGCAAAAATCCTTATCTCTTTGTTTGATATTATATAAACTGATCTACAAATAAAAATATAGCAAAAAATAAAAAAAAATTAAAAATTTTGTACAAAAAAGTTGCGTCGTTATTATCAGTTACGTAACGTTCATTTCAAATGGCGCGACATGCTGTGTTTAAGACTTTAAAAGGTAGCACATGTGAATTTTCAATTACATCAATTATATACGAACGAATAACACGTTTCGTCAGCGACACGTTTCAGCGTTTTCAAAGAGACTTACTTAATCAGTCGGGGGTCGTGTCGACGGATCCTCGGGGATTCGTCGAAAAAAAAACCGCTCTCCCGATGACGAGTTCGCCGAACAAAGGGCCGACGTGATGAGGATTGAGAATTAAAACTCCTGCCATCTCTTGGTTTTGCGAATAATAGCGGCAACAGGTAACCAGCTGGTCCAGTCATCAGCGTGAAGAAGTAACCCTTCTTTGACCTGGCCTCGGTTTTTACCCTGCGCGAGCATAAAGGACCTCACAGATGGGCGATTTCTAGCGCGCGCCTCCAACTGGAAACACATTGCACTGTTATTCGCTATATTATCAGTCTGCATTATCACGAAATTAAAACAATATTTTTTTCTTTTAATTGAAACAATTTTCTCACAATTGAAACGTCACCGTCAGAAAGTTCAAGAAAATTTATAATTAGCTTTGTAATTAGGATACCGCGTCTTATGAAAATAACACTTGTTTTTTTTATTAATATAAATCTTTATTCCAAAATCTGTTTCGAGATAATATATTAAATATGTAAAATATCATATACAATTAATTTAATTTGTAAATACCAGAATCTGAGATTTAAAAAATGTAATATATGGCGACACCTGCTTAATTATTTTGAATACAAGTCGATTGAAGAATAGGAGAAGAATGTACATCCTAAAGAGCGGAAAAATGCCCAACATAATCTAGAAAATTGAAAATAACTGAAGGTATACTAAAATATTGTCGTTTATAAAATTGCAAGAATGGAAGAAGTGCGGTTGAAATAAGAATCTATTACTTTTTATTACCAATTTAGTTTCGGTGAAAGAGATATTGAAATTTTTCTTGAAGGAAAAACTCCGACAAAAGATCGTTGCTTTATTGTACGGTCTCATTGTATTATGTAACGCGAACGATAAAATGCCGTTGTGAAGAAATTAGGGTGGAAACCAGTCTTATATTACGACGTTGATATTCGGTGCTTCAACCTGGTCGACAGCGAAATTGACCGTTAATATCATTAACGTAATCGCCCACGAGTGCGATGATAATGAGAACTCGAGATGTATAACCGTTGAACAACGCATTACGTCGCGCGATTTTCGCGAAATGGCGTTGCATAATCTAATACGTGAGAAAATGCATTATACGTGTAAAGAGAAAAGAAATGCAAACAGTGCTACTAGTGGGAAGATTAGTGAGAAACGTGAATGGGAGGATACGGGAATTGCCACGCGCGAAACCTGACAAAGTGCATTCATTTTGTACTTACGTCCTATTACTCACAGCACTTTGCAAGTGCGTACATGCGTCATTAGGACATTCCACTGCAATCTACAAGCGATAAATCACAATCGCGGAATGTTTTGTCAGTAGCAACGTTAAAGAATTAAATTAACATTTTTCTACACCTTACGTGAGAATAAATCGAAGCGCCTCAAGAAAATTGTATCAGAGAAAAAGACATGCATTTTTTGGAATCACAAATGTTGATATTTTTTTACGTTGCAAATGGTTCTTCCAACCTACATCTTTTATGACGTGTAATAATTCTTTTGCCTCATTCTAACACAATTTTTGTTGTAAGATAATATTTTCTTGATACTGTTATCTCCTTTTAGTTCATAAAATTTAATGTAATTCCGAAACTTGAGTATATAATATTCTACAATTTTTTCACAGCGCCTAGTGTAATCATTATCTAACATTATGTAACATTATTTATGCGTTTTATTCTTTAACGTTACTAATAGAAAAAAAAATCTGTGAAAAAACATTTCAAACATTCGTAACTGCGGAAAATTTGTTCACGTTGAATGAGAGCTACAATACTTGAGATGAATTTCAGTGACAGCTGGCAAAAACATTCATTCCGACGCACGAAGCTCATTTTAATCATAAAAAATGATTTGTGTTCCACTTTAAGAATGCAAAGTCTGCGTCATCCCGCGTGGAAAAATTTCCAGCTTCGGATATTAATCTCCCTGTGTAATTTATTTACGAGACTAATCCCATAATATTAATTAACGCTTAATATCTCCGTCTATTAATTTATACCACGGTAAATTACTCGCCAGATGCGCGCTCCGAAAGGTTTCGAAGCGATTGACGCGCTACTGCTGTCATTCTAAATAAATAAAGGAGTGTCATCCCACGCAAATTGTAGTAAATCTCAAATTTTCCGTCTCTTGCATGCAAGAGCTCGTGAATCTCCTGGAAAGTTTTGTTTGAGTTTCCTGCGAGAAAATAACGTTAGCTGAACGGGATTTTGTCGATAATTTCTTATCGTTGGACGAGGAAGGTATTTTACTACATAACTTTCTCGAGTGCCATCGATAAACTTCCTAGTTATGAAAAAAAAGTTTGATATACGTCATACTGTTGAGAAATCGTTTTATCGCAACAGCGAACTTTTTCTACGAAGAGAAATTTATATATTCCTCGTTTACAGATATTTCTCGGTTTATTTATATATTTTTCGACTTTTTACTTCAAAATTAATCGAATCCCTTTTTGTGAAAAATATTTAAGTATATCTTGATTTTCGAACGAAACTTTTGGTGCGAAAATAAACCGAGATTTATTTCTATTTTAATTTTCCGTCGACATGAGTTTTATATTTACTTATTCTCACAGAACTGAAGTTTAAATACCTATATTGTCTTATGCAAGAGACATTCATTGAATGGTAGCAAAAGCGTTTTCAGCCCGGTTGCATTATAAATAATGATATTATCCACTCATTTTATCACGTTTCTGTTAATTATTTCTTGATAAACCTCAGTTGGACATTACCTCGATGAAAATTTAATGAGACACCATTGTTTGCCGTCAGCATTTCAATATTTAGTATTTCTCAGAAAACGGATCAAGTGGTTAAATCTGGATATATTGAAATTTAGTTTAAAGTAACTAAAAAGTGCGAATTATAATAATTGAATTAACATATTTATGTACATTTTCAATATTATATATGTTTATTAACTTTAGCAATACAGCCAGAAAGTGGACTTGGTTTACAGTACATTTTCAATATTAAGTAGCTGTTTTATTAGTTATTTATTTACTTATGTACAAACGGGATGTACGAAAGAGATTCTTTTAGCACAAATAATATGATTACAATTACTAACATCAGCAAGAGACGCAGAATAAGATACTGAAAGAAGAATATGAGAATAACAACCTTACAAGTTACAATGAAAGAAAATGTAACAAAGACCATAAGATAATGAATGTTTAAAAGAACTAAGAGAGAATTTTTTAAATTGTCTTTGCATGAGAAAAAATTGAGAAAAATTATCTTTTGCATTTTAATTATGTATTGATGTAAAATATTTTTAAATTTAGATTTTCTCATATATGTCTATATACACGCATACAATGTATATATGTACACATACATGCGCATACGAAAGAATTAATGGTAATCGCATTCTAATCTCGTTCGTTGGTTTTAAAAAAAACGGCGATAACTTCGTACTTTCTACGATAACCTTGGAGCAATAAAAAATTGAATGTATGCCGATCGATTCAACAATCGTTATTTTATCAATACGTCTGCAGAGGGAAGTTCCATGACAAGTGCGCGCAATATCAGAAGGTCACGGTTACAATTATATGCTATACAAAGTGAGCTGCACACACGTAGAAATATACTATATATAATAACTTACCGTTCAGGTTGCAGCCAATTAGCGATGACGTGAAGCAACGTCGTTTTAAACATCCGTTTAAGACATCTGTTTCAGACAGCAAACACTTCTAATTACGTATTTCGCAAGATTGTCAAGCGCAAAGTCAAAAACTAAGAAATAGATTAGAAATATGCGCATATTACAAAACTCTCTTCTATCGTAAATTTTGTACGGTTCTGTCGAACAAAAATTACTTCTAAATATACAATTTAAAAAGTTAATATTAAAAACTGAATTTAAAATCCGTAGAGAGAATTTTAAATTTTTTTTCAAATAATTTTGATTTGTTTGAAAAAAATTCGAAAAGAATATTTCTTACTTCTTTCTGTATATTATAAATCTCCCCTCCTTTCTCTAGCTTTCTCTAAAAAATTATGTCTGTTCCTTTATAGTACTGGCGCATAGAACATTTTTCAATCAATGAATTACGTCATTTATAGTTGTTTTAGACTCGGTTTTAGACAAAATTTTGGACTGTGCAATTCTAAAATTTAAATGTTAAACATCAAGTGGACGAAAACACGATATTATAAAAGGAAAATTAAATTTCATCACACAATTTACGTTAAATTGTTTGCGACTTTAATCAATAGCGGTTAAACAGCTCCTCGATAGCCTCAATCGTAATCTGCGTTATCTTACCGTAAGATATTCTACTCGTCTTGAAGACGCCATTCACGTAAAAAAAAAGTAATAAATATAAAATGTCAATATACTAACTTACATTTTTCTTCATTCTTCAGTGGTAGTGTTCTATATTTGTGCTCTATCTATATGTACTCTAGAACAGCTAGAGAGATAATGACGCGCGTTATCGCATAATTTTCAAAACGAGCGCAGTTTTAATGAAAATTGCTTTACATTAATCATCTTAGGAAATACTTATTTCAGGATCGCTATTTTTATGCAGTTGCAGAAAAGATAAGTTTAGAAAATAAAGAAAAATGAAACAAAAATTAATATTTCTTTATTATTCAAAAATGTATTTATTACTCAAATCGCATTATGTGTAATAAACTTGAATAAATTATATTCGCGTCTAATATATTATTAACTTGTAATAATGTATTAAAGAATTTATAACAATATATTATTAATAGGGGTTTATAACATATAATATTTATTGTTAAAATTAATATTTTAATAATGTATCAAGGAGTTTAAAACAATATATTTCCAATATATTAATTTTTCATTCCTGTTTTCAACATATTTTCCAATATTTATGACAAACTAAAAATTTATTTATTATATGTATATTGTTGTGCCCGTGCTGAGACACCCGTTGTAAGCTGAACTTGGCTCCACGAGTAGCTTCAAGTCGAAGCACGTGCCTTGACAACGGGCTGTAACATTGTTTTAAATAAAACGCTTCGGGTTGAAGCTACTCGTGTGCCAAATTCAGCTTGCAACGAATGTCTCAGCACCCGAGACCCGAGCGAAGACACCATAACGAGCACCGAGCTCCCAAATGTTGCACTGCGCTCCGCAATCTCTTGGACACTCGCGTTCGCGCCGCGCACTCCCGCACTCGCGTAAAGAAAAAAGCACTCTCTTAAAAGGAGAATCTCAGGTTTATTCTGAACGAGAAAATACAGAGAAGCGTAATGCCCGTTCTAGACTGGAAGATGAGCCGACTCTCGGCTCATCCGAGTGATTGGTGTAGACGGATAAAAATCTATAGTTTATGTATAGTTTATGTCACGTACACTATAGAAGGCGGATGAGCCGAGAGTCGGCTCATCGTCCAGTCTAGAACGGGCATAAGATTGGAGAACAGGTCCGAACGGTTCGGAAGCTCCAGAACGAATCTCCAAGGAGATGTTTTAAATAAAATAATATTACAGTCCGTTCAGCCCGTTGTCAAGACACGCGCTTCGGCTTGAAGCTACTCGTGAGCCAAGTTCAGTTTGCAACGGGTGTCTCAGCAACAATATAATCATCTATTGTCATAATTAATCTTATTTTTGTGCTACGATGAAAAGATCGCTTGACTAAATCCACATATTTCTTCATGCGTAACTGGAATACAACAGAGGCGACATATATCACACATTTAATTATTAATTGCGAAATGAAGTCCTAAAGTAAAATGATGTAATAATGTTTAAGATTATGAATCACTTAGTCTTAAAGTTAACTAAGAGGCAGTTTCGTAAAATATTATTTTTTTTATATGATATATAATGCACATTATGAAATAATATTTAACAAATATCCAACTGATGAAATTTTTATGCATCGCGTGGTCATCGATAAACTTGCATGAATAAAAATTATGTATTAATAATTTATAGAGGACAACAATGATATGTCCAATGAAGTAATTTACGGACGAGAGTACGAGAAATGAATCATGCATGAGATTTAACTTTATTCTCAGCAACTTTCTCAGCAATTCACTTCTTGATGCATCGCCGTTAAAATCTTTTTGTTGTTTGCCCGTTTGTCTGCTTTGTTGCACCAAGATCTTTTTGCAGCTTAGCTCGACATTAAGCAACGATTTAATTATTTATACTCTAGTAAATATCGTTATCAAAACAGCAGTCACGCTACAAAGCGAAAGTTCGTCAATACAATTTAGGTGTTTGTCCTCTTGTTGCCTTGCAACTCCTCTTGAATCTCTTGGGAGGTTTTTCCCTTAGTTTCCGGTATGAAAAAGTAATTAAATGCAGTGCCGACCGCCATGATCGCGGCGAAGATCCAGAAGGTGACGTCCGCGCCCCACCCTTCGTTCATCGCCGGGAAGGTCTTCGTCACCAAGAACACCAGGAACCAGTTTAGCATCACGGCGATACCGGAAGCGACCGCCTTGGTCTCCGCGGGAAACAATTCGCCCATCAGCATCCACGGTATCGGGCCCATTCTACGCATAAAATGTAACACTGCAGTCGATATTCCCCCCCCCCCTCGTTTTTTCTATACTATAATTGCGATATCAGATACTTCAGTTACAATTGTAAAATTATCGTAATCTGTAACTATATTAATTATAAGTGGACAGTTTACTGGGATAATATACTGTGAATGTATTATTTAAAAGATCCGAACGTAATTGATTGCAGGGTTTACTCACCCGATGGAGAAGGAGATCATGAATAACGTCAGAGATGTGAGCGGTAGCCAGCCGAGTTTACTGACGTCACTTCCGCTCGCCTTAATATTGAAGTACGTACCGAGGGCCACGAGACTGACTAGCATGACACTCGACGAAAATATTAGCAGTGGCTTCCTTCCGGCGCGATCCACGATCAGAGCTGCTACGCCCGTCATAACCATCTGCCAGAAACGTTTCAGGTAAACAAGCGATTAAAAGCAGTTAATAATAATTGCGAGAGATAGAAAGATATATTGTGGCAGATATACATCATTGATACATATCGCTCTGACAAGTGAGTATCATGTAAAATTCGACTGCGAAAAACACGAGTTATACACATAATTCATATAAAATCACGTTTCGTACAATTAACTCGCAAACATAAAAATACTCTAATTAAACCTCAATAAGATAATCAAACTCAGAAAATTTCAAAAAAAAAGTTTTAGTTCCCATTCCTTATTTGAACAAACTGTATTGTTATAGAAACGTTACAATTCTATTTTTACAAAACAAAAAAGCTGCATAAAAGTGTTCTAAAAGAATTCTGTAAAAGTGTAGGTTTTTACGCAAATTAAACATTGATAATGGGTGGCACCTGAACGATCGCCACGATTATAGAGGAAACCTCCGCCTTCATCGAGCTTCCGGATGCCTGGAAGATGGTGACGGTATAGAAGATCACCGCGTTTATGCCGGATAATTGCTGGAACAACATGCCGCCCAACGAAGCGAGCAAAGCCTTTCTGGATGCCGTGGTTCGTACAAGGTCGAATATGCTCGACTTCCTCGAGGCTGCCTGCTCGGCTTCTCGTTGCGCCTCCGCGAGTTCCTCGGACGGATCGTAAGCATCTCCTCGGAGGACTGTCATCGCTATCGTGGCTTCCGGTTTCAATCCTTGATTCTATCAAAGATTCGAGACATATCCAAATTTTTCTTCGTGAGTGAGTTCGTCACGGTTCAGGTTTCTATCACAATAATTTCTTTCGACTGAACAGTTGTAAAATTCTAATATAATTCAAAATAGCCGACATGAATAGCCATGTAATAATGAAAAAGCGCGAGAGCGAAAAGTCTCTATCGGTTTGACCTACCACCAGCCAAATAGGCGACTCCGGCATCCATATAAAAGAAGCCAAGAAGCCGACCTCTATGAGGGCGCAGACTATAGCGAACGCCGTGTAGTTCATCACGGCCCCGAGTACGAAGGCCAGCAGGATCCCAACCGTGATGTTCAGCTGGAACATGGCGCCGAGGGAGCCTCGGGTCGACGTTTCTGCAATTTCGGAGATGTAAGTCGGTACGACGACGCAGGCCGCCCCCACGGCGGCGCCGACTATGAACCTGGCCACGTAGATCAGCCATAGTTTGGAGGCGAATATGATGATCACCCAGGACAGAAGAAACGGGGCTGCCAGCAGTAGAAGCGTTTTCTTCCGGCCGAGTTTGTCGGCCATCGGTCCGGACGGAACGGCGCCCGCTATCGCGCCCAGGGCCAGCAACGAGCCGATCCAGGACCCTTGTTCCTTAGTGATAACCAGCCAGGAACTCTTCTCGTATAGCTGGGGCAGAACGGGAGACGTCCAAGCCAGGGCGGTGCCGACGCCGACCGCCATTAGGCAGGCTGAAAGCATTTAAACGTCGAATCAATTAAAGAGAAAACTTAAGGAGCCTTTCTCTTAGCAACAGTCTTACTACATTTAAAATTAAATTTTAAACGTCGAATCAATTAAAGAGAAAACTTAAGGAACCTTTCTTAGCAACAGTCTTACTATCTTTAAAATTAAATTTTCTAACTAATTAAGTTTGAGAGACTTAATAGAGGTATCGCGAATAGCTACTTCTGATCACTTTCTTGGGCGGATTTTATTAGAATTATGCAAACTACGAAATGTTTGTGAATTAACTTCTTCAAACAAAGAAATTTTATATGCTTTAATATTAAAAATTTAAGAACTAAATGTTAATATAAAAGTTAAAGTTAAAACTTCGAGAATTGTAAATATTACATTTATCTTATTTCTTAAAAAATGTGTCACCCATATTTGTATTTAGATATTAAGCTCGATTCTTATCGATCGCTCTGCAATCCCATTACATCATTACTTTCGTTCGACGAAATATAAATTATCAGAAATAGTTTATCTCTTTCGATAAAAGACATGGCCGAATTTCGTAAATTCGTTAAAACAACTTGCCGCTCTACCTTCTCGATGAATAGTCTCTTTCTTAAGATCTACAGTGCCGAGTGGCGATGGCATATGCGCAAACATTAATGCGACAATTGTAAACCAAATCTCCTTTCCATATATCATGCTAATCCACGCTGTCGACGCTCAGAAACGATTATTTGGCGTGCACGATAAGGCGGACATATGGGCCGAATTACTTTATCGGGCACGCCGAAACTCCAGCTACGATAACAACCGCCGTCGACAATAGACAGTGGTGTATTATGACACGTCGGAGATGAATTGAGTCGTTTCGCGGAATATAGCTGTACGGGACAGCGAATTCACTGTTCTTTGAGATCCCGCGGGCCTTACGTCCGAAAGTGCACGCTTATACAGAACACTGTCGGATTTCACGGCGAGACGGCGGACACCACCGTCTCTCCTCCCAGAGCAAATTACAACGCGCTCGTTTCAATAAAATATCACCGGGGGTTTTGGGAGATACGAGCTCATAAGCGAGATACCAGCTTATTCAGTGAGATTTCATAATAATGAACGGTCTGACAACCATGGTGGGACTGCGATCTCGTTATATCTAAATTCCTGCAGGAAAGTCAAGAAACTCGGAAGACAATCTGCAAGCGTAATGCCCTCCTCTTTCTCACGATTATATCTGTGTGTAGAGTTCAATCAATATAACCGAGCGCAATCCGACTGAGTAGCGTAACGAGTTTGATGTCCAGTTAAATCCACTTCGTTCGATTCGTTGAAACTCAACTAAAATCACACGGTAGATTTCACTTTAATTCAGTGAAATTGCACAAACGCTAATTGACGTCACTCTATAATAATGCTCTGATTAATAGCATTCCGTTTATAAAAGTCTTTTAAATGAAAAGCTGTATGTGTAATCCCTTGATAATATCGATTTACGTTTTTTATGTGACTTCAGCTGTTTGGAATGCAGATTTAGTTATCTCCGTCAGATAAAATACAAGTGAAATTAATTGTAAGTGAAAAACGCAGATATCTTTAAAAGATGTTTTCGTTAAAAGGAGAAAGATATGCAATAACTTCGTCATTAATATCGTTATCGCCTTTCTCGACTAGGGAACTCGAGTACTTTTATTGACAGAAGAATGTAATTTCTTAAGCAGATTTTTACGGATAATGAAGACTTTAGCAAAGCTGTATTAAGATATATTTCCGATTGCATCTTTAATTTAATTAAATTGTGATCTAATGATCTTTTTATCTCTACTTGCAATCCAGCAACTTCATGAACAACGGAAAAAAGCGATAAAAAAATCTACTGTACGGTAATTTGATCTTTAACAGTTATAAAGCCTCTAAGAAAATAGTACTTTTCGTCAATTAGGATTGGATAATGTTTAAGTAATATTTAAGTAAAATACGTGATTATTAAGTTTTTCGCAGTTACGTCAATTGATAACAACATAACGATCGTGATTGACGATTATCAGCTCGATAAGACTGTAATAAGTTGATGACTAACATGATTAAACAATTACTTTGTAAAATATATAATAAATTAGAAGTCCTTAATTCTCAATTTTGACTTATTTCTGAAAGCAAACTTAAACGCTTGTGCCAAAAGGACAAGTAAAAAATCGCATTCTTTTATGAAAAATTAAACTAACATTATTTACTTATCATCTGCGAAGTTTTAATGTTCGAGAAAGACAAATAATGTAATATCTATACTTCTGTATTCGTCTTAAGATAATTTCGACTCATCGTTATTTAAGAACAAATATTTTTTAATGTAAACACTTTAGTAAAATTATAAAATACGTATTAAGGATAACATTATATAAATATAATCAGATAATAATAATAATATTAAATATTTCAATGTTGGCATTTAATACATATAAATTAAAAAATAAATCGCTCAACTGCGGGGATGAATATCAAATATTATTAATGGAAATTAATGGTAATCTGAGTCGGGATTGCATGTTTGCAATATTTGCACACCACTTGATATAACATATTACGCACTGTTTTGTGAGCAGTATAATTGGCTCACGAGTAAACAGCGTAGATTGTATTTAAATACACGGTTGACACAAGCTGTATATTAAATAACTAATACGTGCCATAAATTGAAACACATATACGCATCATATTTTTAAAGCACATATCAATCATAAATGTTTAAACAGGTCAATGTGAGATTTTGCACAATCTCCACCCCGTCGCTCGACACGGATCCGACTCTTAATTTCTTCGATCACTTAATTCGTATATAAAGTGCCGCGAAAGAAGCAACATACAACGGAATGCCTATTTGTACACCGTTAAATACCGGAAATGGATGCTAAATACTGCCATAGCTTCCTGCCTTCCTGGCGCACGGGAGCACCGTTAATCATCCCCGTGGCTTCCATCCTCTCCTCCATTCTGCTCGGCGAGTCGGGCTGCTTCTTGAAGGAGTATCGAGGAAAAACGACTTCGCGCTCGGCGACTCGTTCTCGTACGCGTCACTCTCTAACTAACGCGTTTCGCACTCGCCTATCTCCTTCGATTTTTCGTCACGGATAACGCAAAGTTCACCGGAGATAAGTGAAAAGATGCGATCTGTACGTTTCGGCACGACACGAAGGCGCGCGGAACCGAATGAACGGTGCGGCATCGGGGCCAATGTATATCACCAACGTCACACTATCTGGTCACCATTATCACTAATCTCGCGCTTATCTGGCTCGATCGAAACGGCAAAAAAGATTTACAAATCACACAAATCACGATAATCACGGTGACAAACGGAGGCGCCCGCGGAATTGAAAATTCGAACGAAAAACGACGCGCTTCCGTAAAGTCGGCGCCCCGCTTATTGTTAGATCTCGCGTCCACGCTTTTTTGAGATTTTCGCGATGATAGAAATGAACTAAAAATGAACTCACAATCAGTGGATCTCTCGACCTTTGTAATATCCCGATAAGAATAAAAGAAACTAGGTCAAACTGGATTGCAGCATATTCAACATTTTTTCCGAGAAAGGCGCCAATGTTTGTAATAAGAAAAATATTATAGTAATCATTTTTCATTAATCTTCATATTAGCTGATAAAATTGTTTTCCTTCTCTGATAATGATATAGCGAAGTTTAAACAGTATAGTAATATCTTTTCAAGAACTTTTTTAAGAAACATTTTATCGGCTACTGCGAGACTTTCATCAATCTGTGAGAAAGGTAGGAATTGTGTCAGAAAAAGAGAGAGAGAAAGAGGGTGATCGATATTTTTAAAAAATAACCTTCCCTTTTAATCTCACTCACTTTGATGTATGCTTGCCTCTAAAATATTCTACACCATTAAAATTTCTCACACAGAAACACAAATTTAAAAAATTTTAATAATATAGAATATTTTTAAACGCGCAAAAAATAGTTCTCGTTAAAATATTTTTTTTAAATAACGATAAATTAATTTACGCGTAGCGTATTGCAAATTGAAAATTACGCAAAGGAACGTGTACATTTGGATCGCATCAAAAACAGAAAGATACAAACCGCGACGGATAATTATTTTCTGCGACAACGCGGTGAAATTCGTTGCATACGTCCGAATTTATGGAATATATTTAATAAAATGCGTCTGGTATAAATCGCGAGCTACACGTGCGATGTGCATGAACGTCCATTCCCGTTTCATGAACGGAACATTCCGAAATGGTCGGATTTAGAAAAGAGGAATGAAAACTCCGTCAAATGCGGCCGCTTACCTTTTACGGCGAGCTTCGCCTCTAGTCGTGTGACGGGCACTTCAATCCGATTTCAATCGCCGGCAGAGTGCAATTCTCGATTTTCTCTGCCGTCGCGTCGCGTTGAATTTCGCGTTCTCAACGCGCGTTCTCCATCTCTTCCGTTTCCACGTCCGACATATCGTCTCCTTCGAGTTTCCCAGACGGAAACAGCTCGTCGTATATTGCATTCCTCTCGTGAGAAGCGCAAGCGGATGCACCTGAGAAACACCGTGTAACTACTCATTGCGCGCCATTTCGCACGTTTCACCCCGCGTTGAAGAGATCGCTGTCGAGACACTTTCATCGTTTTGCTACTCCGCTTTTTCCCGGTTTTACCGCGCGCTTTTACCATCTTTGTTAACATCTTCGTCCGCTTTGGTGCGAAAAATTTTAATCGGCGTTCGCTCCGCACATAAACGTTAACTAAATATTGCTTCGCTGCGGCGCGGTGATTGCAAGTCGCTTTATATCGACAAGCTTTATCTGATAAGGGAATTTAAAACAAAAATTTGTGAGAATTTAAGTTGTGAAATAAGGAGTTTTTTATTGATCTCTGCACTTGATTTTCGTTGAGATGGGCCGAATGGGAAAAATTGCATTTTTATTGCTTGAACCTTGTTTGAAACTATAATACAACTTAAGTCGTTTAACATAATTTAACATAATAATAATAATCGAAAAATATGATTGCAAATATAATGAGAACGTATTCAATCATTTCTGTTCAATAATGATCAAAATTATCGTTATCAATTGTTCCTCTTTCGATAGAAAAATATTATTAAATCTCGAGAGAGATTTAAGAAAACTTCCTTATCAAATGAAGTCGTCGTTACGCTCAGTTTATTACGTTCGACACAGATTTTGGACGAAATCCTCAAATCTTGCAACAAATTTAACAGCGATAATGAGGTCGATTTAACTAAATAAATTATACGATACACGACACGATTATTATCCGTGCCAATAACTTCTGTCAAACAAACGCCGCCCGTCATTTAATAACTGTAAATTAAACTAAACCAGTCACAGAACATAACGGTAGCCTGTCGCGCTGTCACTCGCCGTAGGTTTGAACGCGGCATCGTATTGTCGATAAATTTTCCGTGACACGCGTTTCTCTGGTAAATCGCACGTTATAGTTAATTGTGGAAATACGTAATGAAGGGGACGTAACTCATCAGTTTCATACTTCCCGACAAGCGACAATGTTCCGGGGCGCAAATAATGTACCGCGTTATCGTACTTCAACATAATTTTACGATTTTATATGTCAAAAACACGATGATATACAAGAGAGAAATAAGTAGCGGAAAAGCATTTTCACCTAAAATTGCAATATTTCTTTTCATGTGCCAAATGTCTATTTTAGAAAATAATTATCGCTAAGGATTTTCTATTATAAAACGGAATATAAGTTAGATAAGACGCATTCAAGAGAAATTCCAATAGAATCACGCCAACAAATCAGTTTCGTATTTGATAGTAGATCGATATTGGAAAGCGATCGCGTTTTATCTACTACCTTCGGAAATAGTGAAAAATCGACGATCGAGTCATAATATAGATATGGAAAAAGCTGTATACGTTATCTCAACTTTTTAAGTAGAAAATACACATATACTTCGGGATTTATTTAACGATTAAATATCTTTTTAATATCACATAATCATTTCTAGAGTAGATTTGTGGCGATCGTGGCGCAGAGAAATATGCGCAGCTCTAATGAACCAAAGATCCGATATTCAAAGAGTACGAAAAAAAGTAGGGTAAACGATAGTAAACAGGCAGGTTATAAGGAAGTTTACAGGAGAAAAGGCCAATAAGTAATCTCTCACTTCAAAATATAATATCCAAATTTATTGCTCTTTCGAAAGGGAATTGGCTGCTCCTCGCAGGACAGAAACGCGAGCAGCCTTTTTTCGTCACGTCAAACCTACGAGTTACAATACGCTGTAAAAAAAAAAAGTATAAACAAAAGTGGGGAAAAAATCTCTCGGAAAAAATACGCATGGGTACTACAACGAAGTCGATACTGCGTACAGGCACTGGCGAGAGAAACAGAGAAATATGGTGAATTAATATAGTCATGGAATGGTTTTTCGGTAAAGCGCGGCAAAGAAAGCGGATTATCCTTACGAATAATGAAGGACTTACAAAATGAAATCGCATAGCCGCGCAGCTGAATTCGCGTAAGTGCATACCCGCGAGTGCGTGATAATTGAATAATAATTCTGTGTAAAACCCAAAATTTATATACGCCAAATATGAAACGAGATTGTATTTTCCTGCACGTTCAGACCGCGCTCCCAAATAAATGTTCGCGTATTTGTGCAGGCACAGTGAAATTCTTGCTCCCAGAATCAAATTGTACCTTGAATCATTGTATTGTTATACTTACTAATAGGAGGAACGTCTATTATTTTAATACTTACCTTGCTAAATTAATTAATCGTGATATTAAAACTAAGTATTATATATTACGCTAATATATGACTTTTATAAATAATAAAGTTCCATCTGTACAAAAAATAAATAGCAAAGAGAGTGAGATTCTATGTTCAAAGCTACAATTTTGATTCCAGGTGTATAGAAACTTTCACTGTTCATTCTAAACAAAATTTACGAATCTTGCGATTGAAATCTTGGATTCTCGAGTGACTTCCTAGATCTTTTGTCACAAAATTTCGAAACCGAACTCCTTGATGATCAAAGAAGGGCTGACTGTCCGTTTCGCGGATACTGCACTTTGTGAAAATTCAAATACTGCGCGCTTGTGCTTTCGTGCGATTAACAATGGAAATAATATGATGATCGCCGCAACGAAGCTATGATCGATGCAAAGAAAATCGCATTGTTAAGTATCTGTCGTGCTGAATTCCTAATGAGCCATATAATCGCAATAACGCGTCAGTGGGATTTTAAGTCAGAAATCCGCTTTCGTGGCGTGTGTTTAACGCTAAGGGCACCTCACCTTCCCTCGTTTTGATTATCCAATGTGCAATTTAAATCCACTAGGAATGAAGAATTGTGAACTATTACTTGGAATAAGATTATCATAATTACGGATTATCACTTTTCAGCGTTAAACATGCGTCACGAATGCAAGTGATTCTCGCGCTGCTCGGAATTATCGCGTAACTGAAAAAATACGCAAAGGATACCGTCATTTAAGTAGAACGCGATATATTCTTACCTTTTCATGTGCACACGCGTTTTGCACGATAATTCCCGAGCTTATGTTATATCTTCAGAAATTGGA